TTTTCAGAGGAGCTGTTTATGGTTGTTTGTGCATGTAAGGATTATCCTGATGTCGATTGCTCAGTAATATACGCCATCAACATCACTATCAACATGCATGCCACTTTTGTTTATAGAAATATATGATACTCCGCTCTTTATTTCAGTTGCTCAACGATTTATGACTTGATATTATCTTTACGACAATTTTTGAGTAGAGATTTCACCTCATGTGAAGACCACAACGTCCCCTGCCAAGCTGCTGAAATTCTTTGGTAATGATGCACATTAAAATATAATGTGACACATTCATCCAATGACATTACTCGACTTTCAGAGTGAGCATGTGTGGTCTCCAGGGAATCACACGAGTTCACTTGAAGGGAACCACTGTTTTGAGATGGACCCAAGACCGCTTTCGTTCCAAAACAGACGTCAGATTGTACAAAATGTACCAAAGTGTTTAATTGTTTATTAAACTGGCAATCTAACAAGGATGTCTACTTTATGCAGTGACTGTTTTGAGGTGTGAGGGTTTGAAATAACCATTTTTTCCACCTTTTTCACTGCACTATTTCTATTATTTGTTGTACCTGTCTGAAAATGTGAAAGTGTGTGCCATTGTTCCCATTTGTATGAATAATTGTATCAAGACAACAAAGATACTTAATAGATGTTTCAAGCATACTGAACCCTTTAGAATCCAGACTCTAGAGAAAGTATCTTATCTCACAGTTAAATAGTGTTCAAGAATTCGTCACACAGATCCATGTGGTTATCATAGTGATGCACTGTAAGCAAAGGTATTTTCTGGAAACTACACTCAACTAACACAGAACTACTCTGGACCTGCTTACGGTCAGTATGCATGATGAAAGAAAGCCGTACTTTTACTGTAATCTCCTTCATTGTAATGTAATATCTAAAAAGAGTTATACACAGTTGCCTGCTGACCCTGAGGGTACAGACTTTCTGAATAAGAGAGGCACAATCCATCCATCCATCCATCCATCCTGCTTATCGTTTAGAGGGTGGCGGGGTCTTGGAACCAATCCCAACTGACATTGGGTGAGAGGCGCGGTACAAGCTGGACAGGTCGCCAGTCAATCACAAGAAAAAAACCTGTGCAGGCAAAGGGAGAACATGCTAACTCCACACAATAACCCCCAGCTGGCAGGTTCAAACCCAGAACCTTTTTGCTGTGAGGCAACAGTGCAAAGCATTAAGGTACACTCAATACAAAGACATTCTATGGAGTATAACATGATATGCTAAACATATCAATCTCAGCTTCCCTGTAATGAGAGCCCCTTGTACCTCATATGTATCACAAGATATCTGTTACAGCAGCTGTGATTGGGTTTTGAGCCTGGGCCAAAAAAATGCCTTTATGAGGTGTTTGAAATTCCAATGAAAGGGTATGTACTTCATTTGGGATCTGGGTGATTACACACAGCCAAAGCACAAAATCAAAGTAACAACCTTTAAAATTACACAGAAGAGCTAAAAGACAGGAAAAGTGTAGACAAACAATAACCTCAATTAGACCACCAAGGCATGGTGGTCTAATCCTTGCTTTTTGTTGTTGGTTTAGGTTCTAAATGCTGTTTTTTCCCGCCCACAAGCCTCAAAGTTGTTCTTTCTTCCCAACAAACATGTGTCTACTGTAGCCTGCATCTGTGCAAAAATTAAATTTTCTCGGTCAGCTGGGTTTGTCTGCAGGCCTGAAACAGGTTTCGTGTGAGGACAATGTCCTCTTCAGTAATTCAAAACCAGTCAAACTGAAGGATCGCTTCCACAGAAAAGGAAGGGAGAATGCAGAAACCATATCTTCTTCATCTCAAACGGTGAGGAATGCTAGAGTAAGCATTAGCCGAGAAGAGGGAGAGAGAAGGTCTTGAGAACTGTACATGCATATAAATTAAGTGAAACACTTAAAGGTTCACTCTGCTGCACAAATGACATGTGACACCATCCCCATACCCTTTGGAAAGCCCATTTTGGAAAAACAAATCTGCCGGAGTAATGAGACTGTTAATACAAATGTAATTACTTACATAATAAACTTTTTCTATTTACACTAGAGGCCGTTTACTTGCAGGACTTTAGGCCAGATATCAATCAGTGACAGAGGGACACAAGCCCAAAGACTTAGGATAACAATCAAAAACACAACAAGAGTGACCTCTCAGTGTAAACCCACTTGGTTTTCTTGTAGCCAGAGGCAAAATCCAGAGCCCCTGGCAGGAAATCCACCGTGTGCTGTTGACATCGCAACTCATCCATGACAGACAAGGAATAACACTTTTGGAAAGGAAGAGTTTTGGAAAAAAGAAAACGGAGTCCAAGAAAGACAGGCTGCTGTCACCGGAAAACATGGGTTTTAGCATGATAATAAATCTTTCAAACAATATTCACTCAAGGAAAGAAAATGCATTAAAAACAGAGATTACACATAGTGAAAAATATGCTAGGGTCACAACAACAGAGATTCCAGCAGGGTTGAATAAATGAACTATGTAATTTCTTTGCATTACGATGTTGATAAATTATATTTTGAATTTGTATTCAGTTTCTTCAGAGTCCATTAAATCATACTTGCCTAAAATGGCAATTTCACAAAGTTTTGGTTGATGCTGCTGTAATCAATTTCTGTCACATGGTCTGTAAAATATGTAATTTCATATTATTGGTCTCCGTATAGTCATTCAACAGCTGTGCTACCAACAATAAAGACCATTTTTTATTAAAACTAAATACTAAAGACATTGTAATTGGTCTCATTAAAAATGTCCCCAAGCACCTAAAGTTTATAACGTCCATAATAAAGAGTAAAATGAGCCTGTAGTTTGTCTTTGGGGGGCAGTGAGGAATAGTGGCTCTAAGAATCTGGGCTTGAGCACAGCTGGTTTTAGGTTCAAGTGTAAAGCGGACTGCGCTAACGAGAAAGTCACTTACTATTTGATCAACATGCAATAGGGAAAACAGGAATTACTGTAAATTTATGACCAGAGAACATTACAGGTCGTTGTTAATGGATGTGTCCTTGAGCCAAATTCAATGTTGTAGAGAGATGTGGCTGGACCTACGCCTCCAACGTTTCTTTTCCTGGACAGTGTTGATTTTGGCTGGACGTCAGGTTCTGATGTTGGCTAGACACTGGGAGAGCAGACTCAGGGTGCTTCCTTCTCATTCTCACACACATTTGGATGGGAAATGTGTGTTGGCAATGTGACAGAAGTTAGTAACAGAAATCTGATCCACTGTGGAAAAAAACAGACATTTTGCAAGAAAGGGACATCAGCCAGAACTCTAAACGCAATGCAACAGATAGTAATCATAAACTTTTATTCTGAATATACCTTATTTGCACATGAATAAACACATTTTTCCTCCCCTGGATTATAAACATTGTTCTTTTTTCTTTTTGTTGAGAACAACATCCGTTTTATACAAATTTTTACATGACTGATTCTGGAGAATCAAGTTCCACTTAAGTGTGACATATTAAAGCACAATCGAGGGAGACTGACAGAGAGGCCCACCAAGACCCTTCCAAAGCGGAGTCTGGCGAGGGGTGACTTGGTGGACACTTCCATCAAGAGCCTGCCTTAAAACCAAAGGCAGAGGAAGATTGACTGACAGGCCGGCCAATCATCTGCCAAAGAGTGGCAGCAAAGGTAACAGACACAAAAAAACACACATTAAGCAATCCTCAAGATTCCAGAAATAAAAAGGCCAACCCACACAATTCATACAGAGAGCACCAACAGAATCAAAAACACTTCATATCACATCGAGAGAATATTATTCCTGAGGTGACAGCATCTGATTTTAGCACTTAAGAGTAGAATGGAACATCTGGACGAGTATGGAGCTCATGTTCATTCTCCAGTGTTTTCTGTGCATTTCTAAAAGGATCCATTTGGAGCATTTTAGGTGGTGTAAATTTCCATTTCACGGTTTCATCAGTCCAATGTACGTCTTTGCCGAAATGACTTAAAGGACCATACCAGTGTTTTTGCTAGTTCAGCTTCTTAACTAAAATTCCTTTATAGCCCATTACCGCTGGCCATTTCCACCCCATTTTGAGGGTATTTTCTAACTTTTCAGGCAGCCATTGGTTTCTGTACAGCTTAGAAATCAATTATTTACTCTTTAAACCTGCAACTAGAATCTGCAATTTGATTTATATACTGTATGCAAATGAATCGTAACAAATGCCTGCCTGAAAGTAGGAAAAGCACACAAACAAGACTAGAGTCTACAGACAGGCTAGCAGCTGCGTGGCTGCTAAGCTGATGTTTACCATGTTCCCAATGTTAGTTTAGTGTGATAGACAGCTAACATTCCTTTTTTTAGCACTAAACAAAAAACACAGCTGAGGCTAAGGATAATGTCATTAGCTTTGAGGGTATTTAGACACATTGAAATTTTAGCCTGATCGGGGCACTGGATGAAAAGTGCAATCAGTGCAATAGCTGTTTTACTCAAAGCCACAAATGAGAAGCCCATGGTGGCACTAGAGTAAAAAATCAGTGGGAAAAATTAATCAGGATTCATCATCTCCGAACAATGGATGTCTGCACAAAATTTTAAAACAATCCATCCAATAGCTGCTGAGATATTTTAGTCTGCACCCAAGTGGTGGACCAACATTAGCAATGAATATGTGAATCACTTCCACATGGTTTGCAAAATAATCAGCAGTAATAAGGTATTCATGATTTGGTGTAACTGGTCTGAAACTAGGCTAAATTACTGGTATTGGTCCTAGTAACTAGTGAATCATACGTGGCGTGAACCAATCAGACAGATTGAGTAGTGCATTCAAACATCACGCTGGCCAATCAGGTTCCCTTTCCCCAGCTGACTCAGACCAGGATGAAGCCAAATGCTGTCCCCCCAAGAGAAAGGCAGTAATAGCTGATCATACCTTATCATATCATAAACAAATGCCTGACATCCAGAATATTATGCTTCCCAACATTACACACTAAAGCAGGAACACACTGGATATGTTTTTTTTTTTTTTAAATCAAATTGTCAGCCACTACCATGCAGCACAGGGAAACAATTTTATTAGACTTACATCTTACCTTGGTAAATTGCATAAATGTTATATTACGATAATAGGTTTCTCCACAAGAGAATAAGAGAGTCCTATATGGCACTTGATATTCTTGAGTGTTAGTAAGGAGGAGGAGCATAAATACCATTGTTAGTTTCACCACATTGTTTTTGTTGGAAGGTTATAGTTTAAGATAGAGGAAAACATTGATAGAAAAAAGTGCACCTCACACCAGTGGAAAGTTATGATGGTGGTGGTGGAGCTTTGTCACAAAATGAGACGGACAAACAAACACTCCTTGATTTGACTTGGAGGAATGCTTATAATATAAAACCTGACATTCTTCAGTATGATGTCACAATAATTATTTATCTAAAATTCAGAAGAGGGTGAGACAAATGTTAGTGGCAATGTGGTGCACACAGCTTAGTTTCTGTGGTTTTCACTCCCCCACAGAATTAAGTAGTTTCCTGCAAACATGCATCAGTGTTTATAGATTAGAAAAGATGCACTCCCTGGTTTTTGTTTTCAGTGGTGTACATAACATCCCCCGAAATCCCAAAATTACTTCCTCTGTTGTTTTGAATCTTAAATTTAAAATGTTAGAAGGAAGTTTGGGGATTTCGGGTAAAACCATGGAGTACATCCTTGAAGTATCACTAAACAGTTGTAACATAAAGGTTCTTTTAGGTTTCTATGTTCTTTTTTTATTTTAACCTGTGATTGTCAATTCTTGCCTGGAACCAATTGTGGAATTACTCATCGACAGCCGTGACAAACAAACCATCAAGTGCAGCTGGTTTAAGTAAAAATTACATTTTTGTATTAAGGATTTAAAGCTTATTTTTACAACAATGACAGCCAAGTTTCCTGCCTGACATATTATTTCCTGCCTGATTGAATTTATGTCTTTTAGTTCTCTAAATTGTGTAAATAGATTAATTAACCGCAACAAGACATCATGTCCTTTTCTACATATTGCATCTTCGGGATGGATTCATATTTTTGAAATTTATAAAGTGAGTTATTTACTCTAATCCTTGCTGATAGTTAATTAATCATTTATTATAATTAGTTCCATATTAATATTTAGCAGCGTTAATAGTCTGGATTTGGTCCATTGGTTATTATTTATTATTTTGACAGATTTCTTTTCCTCTGCAGTAGTGGTTTGGCTGATTCGAGCATTTGTTAATAAATCCGAACTGTTCTGTGCTCTGGCAAACAAGATTACACTATTTGAATTAAACCATCTACAGTAAATCATCATCATCACACTTAAGTTAGGGTGTTTTATAAATATAACTAATGGAAAAGAAGGCACACAAAATTAAACAAGATCAACTTATATTGGAGACAATGAAATACAGCAGTAGACAGCATCATAAGAATGGACTGACTGAAGTGGTTTCTGCTGGGTGATATCATACCACAGTATAATAAACTGCAAGAGGGAACCTCACTACTACAAAGAGACAGAGGTTCCGCTTCAGTCAGGAGATCAATCCGTAAAGACAAATAACAGCTGCACTTTGAATTGCAGTGCAGATAGTAGTCATTTAATTTACAAAGTGACAGCAGCAAATACAAATGTACTGTGTTCCTGTTTTTCCTGACCAAAATGTCAATTAAAATTCTGATACCTCCCTCGTTCCTTTTCTTTAGTGGTGGCAATAAAACATAGAGTAGCATGCTAGCCACAGTCTAGAAAGCTAAAGGGTTCATCTGACTCACACAATCCACATGGCACTAGAGATTTTGTCCAATGAGCATGCATAGGACACCAGCCAGGCTCATCCTGACTAGTTAATGCGCACTATGGCAACAAAGTTTTCATTGGAGCAATCCAACACCAAGGTGGGAAATCCAGATAATTGACCACTCTTGATCAGGGCTGATGGTTAGATGATCAGCTACAAAGTTAAAATCCATACACTCAGAAGCAGGCGCTCTGTGGCAGTTGAAGTGTTGGTGTCTGTGCATAAACATAACAATAAACATGATTTCCACACTGCAAATACAGTATCTACATGAAAGAACAACAGGGTGAAAGTAAAGACAATGCATCTTGTGAACCCTCAGAGATACTGCAACATTATTATCCGCAACCCAACGAAGGCAAATGAAGGGCATAAGCTTGTAATGTAACAATTTGGCGTCTGTTACTGCAATCTTAGCTGAATTCTCAACCACAAAACAATAAATACCTAATAACTAGCCACTGCAAATCGATTCAAAATAATATACGCTTGCAAAGGGCAGCGCTGTTTCTGGCAGTGGTGAATAAAACTGCTCAACATTTAAATAAACAGAAAGTCCCCCCCATTGGGATTTAAATCCCTCTGACACTATAAGGCAGTCCGATATCTTTCATCAATGACATCAAGCCAGAAAAAGTCGCCAATCAAAATTATTCTCTGGATTCCTTTAATCTCAGATGGCGGGAACCATTGACGGGATGAAGGATAGGCATAGGTCGAGTTCTTTCTCACCTTTCAAACCGATTTCTTCCATTACACACTTCTTTCATAACTTGTACCCTTGCACCTGGTGAAATCACTTTGAGAAACCCCTGAAAAGGAACGTATCAAAAGAAGAAACGGGCAGGGCGTGGGGCTCACAGGTTTTTGTTTGTTTGTTACAAGCGCTTCTCATTAGGCATTTGTCATTTCGGTGGCAGCGTTGCATGCTGGTTGCCATTTTGGACATATCGGAGGGAGAGAGAGAGACGATGTGATCATGATGTTTAGAGGTCATGACGGGATGGCATGGTGTCTGGAGCCAGTCAAAACCCAGAGGAGCACCAGCTGAAGTGCCACCATTAGCCAAAGTGAAGGGCTCAGGCTGGACACCCCGCCACAGTCAGGGTCCTGCTCCTGGTGCCAAGCAGAGAGGAAAAGAACAGAAGTTAGTGATTGTTAAAGCCAATACATTAAACACTTTTCAATTGACCATTCACTAAACCCCTTCCCTGAACAGCTATTGTCCGATCATAGCTTAACAACCATAACTTGGCACGGCAAACCTGTCAAGCTTTGTACCAGTGTGCATGGAGCGATACTTACTATATGTAAGAAATTGATGTCTTTGTCTCTGTAACATAAGCTGCAATCATTAACATGCCCGGCTAACTGACCACATTAGTTTTTGTAGTTATGGGTTACATCAAAAAGCCCCATTAATGACTAGCACATCCATAGTACAGAAGCCAGTCCAGGAAGCTATCAAAGTTTAGGCTAGTGTCCTGCTCTACTGGATTTCAGCAGTTTTCACCCAAGCAAACCCTGTAAAAGCTTTTTCTCTTGTAACTTTAAAAGTACCATAACATACCAAACAGTGTAGTGTTAAAAGGAAATAACACTCAAACTGCAATACAAGAGCTATGCTTTTTCTTTATTTTCATGCACTTAACATGGATTATGGACCGATGAGAATGCAATTTTTTTTGCCTGACACAAGTAGCTTAGCTTTAACCTTAGTCTCTGATCATTATTTTATGTATTATAGTTATCAAATGCATATTTAAGCCACTCTCTCTTTTTTTTCAAAGTTAGCTGGAAACATTAAAAAGTTAGTCGAAGCTAAATCTGTCATCTTTATCATTATAAACTGCCTATGTGCTGTGCAACAACGGAAAGCTTGACAGGTGTAGCAAGTTAGCAACGCTAACTAAAGGTGGGGCTTCGCAAACGGTTGACCAGAACTTGCTACTATTACTATTACTACTACTACT